GTTTTTAAATCAGCCAGAGTTTATCATTTTAAGTTTATTCTTTAGTACAGTTGTGTGTCAAGACTGATTTGCCTTTGTTTCCCAACACGTTGTAGGCTGAACAATAAATCTTTGCTTTATTGTGTCTTCTGAAACCAGAATTGGTGTTGAGTTAGCTCCCAGCCAGCAAATCAAAAAGAAATCTTTGAAAAAGTACATGCAGTGAATTAAAAGTATTAGGCGTGATTTTGACCATGGCTTGTTTTCAGGTTCTTGCTGGGAAAGAGGAGCAGTAGTGAAACCTTATACTTTTACATTAATGTTCTGTTGATGCCGTACTTCCTGTCTTTTCTATTTCTTGTGAAATATTCAGTAAATATGTTTCTTTTGTTGTTCTCATAATTGTTTATATTGCATTTTATATGAGAGCAATTTTCTTAAAAAATATAAATGCTGTTTAGGAAAAGAACATATTTTATTTCTTTAAAAATAACCATCAAAGCATACTACCAAATGATTATTATATTTTTATTCAGGCTTGAAGACAATTTGCTTCAATTCGCTTCAATTTTTAACAATATTTTTTATTTCTCTAATTGGTTTGTAGCCTTTAATAAAGTAACTTCTTTTTGCTCAATTGAAATTATCTTGAGTTAGAATAAGGGATAAATGCCCCCAACGTTTCATACAGAAAGACTTTTCTCTGAGACATCTATGCTGTTATATTTTATATTTTTGATGCTGTTGCCCAAGGAAAAGTGGATCCTGTGTCTTTAATGGAAAGCAAAAGGTTATCTTTCTCTGGCCTTTGTGTACTGATGTGGATGTAGGCAGCCAGACAGGCACTGTGTGCAGAGAGACTAGGGAACTGGCTGTGGATCGATAGAAGTGGTGTGAAGTGAATTAATGCGAGGCAGGCCGTCTGTCTGTCATAAGGATTGCGGGGAATGTGGGGCAGTGTGGTCAGTGACTGCAGAGATCTGCTTCCAATAAATTCAAGCCTTCTGCCTGAAAATAAACTCCCTTCCTTACTGTTAAATTTTACTTTATTCAAAGTAAATGCTCATATCAAATTATTGCCTCTTGTTTATTTTTATTGGACCACTAGAAACCACAGTTGTGAGAAACTGGTGAAATAAAAATACTGCTGTTCTTTTAGATCCATTTTTTTGAACTCACTAGAAATTTATATTACTATGGAATGAGAAATATAATTTTTGTTAATATTTATAAATATTCTGGTATGTATTTTTCTTTCTGAGTCCTAACAATATTGTTTATTGCTTCCATCTCATCTTTAATGAAATAATAAAATTATAATGAACTCAGCTGATTTTATATTCTAGTATTGGTTAAAGTGCTGTATTTTAAATGTTACTCTATTAAACTTTAGTACTTAATCTTTGATTATTAAGTTAATCACATGACACTGAAGTCTTCTGAGTTCATATTATTTATCATTAGTCAGATATTATCAGCCAGCACGACGAAAATGATTTTAAAGGCAATTTACAAGCTTTTGAAAGATAAATTTTAGAATAATATATCTGATTTTACTGGTGGGGAGAGAAAAATACAGTTTTATTACATTGATTTTGAAAATGGTATTTCCATATTTTCATTTTAAAAAATTTTAAGTGATTAAAAATGTTGCATATAAATGGGAAAGTTATAAAAATAGATCACAATGAATAGTAATCTAAATATTTAGAAATCTGGATGACATGAAGATCTCGTAATAGTCTTCCTTGCCCTCTCTTTTTCTTATTCTGCTACTAGCCAGAGCCCCCACCACCCACTCCCTGTCTGAGCTGAGTCCAAACTTTCTCTTACCTATGTTCCCCTTACTTTCATCCTGATTCCCAGTATGGAACCCATTTATAGACCCCTGTTGTCTGGCATAATGTACATTCATTTTTTTCTGTGTTTAGGGACTGTTTTTTGAAGTATCTCACATCTTTCCATTTTTTTGTGTGTTTTTTTTTAAATTTTATTTTTGTTTAAAATATTACAGATGTCCATTTTTCTCCCCAATGACCCGTTCTACTCCATCCCTTCCCCCTCCCCAGTTGTGTGTGTTTTTTATTCTATCCCTTTACTCGCTTTATCTCTGTATCATCTCTATTGTATCTTTTTAGTGTATGTTTTTCCCCAAAGCATACTTATTATTTTCTAGTATATTTAATAACAGAAATTGTGTCATGGGATTGAAGGTATACAGTTCTATTTAAGGTGTATTTATGAAACCTTTATGAGATGTTCATTACTTCCAAATATTATGGGGATACCCAAAAAATAAATAAATCTTAGATTTAATGGCATAGTTTGACCAGTAAGTTCACGTACATCAGGTTGATAAGAAAATAGCGAAGTACCACCATACAATGAATTGGTGTTTATAATCCTCATTATCAATATGCAAGAAACTGAGGTTCCATGTAAATATTTTCTAAGTGGACTCTTCATATTTCTTAGGAATATTTTGTCATCTTATTGACAGTGGTTAATGATGAAGTGATTTTTATGTTTCAAAAAGTTTAGTTTTTAATACCAGGAAGAAAGTAAAACATTCTATTCTAGTCTTTGTGTTTCATGGAAAATAGCATCATATTCTGGCTTAATCCTCAAAATCCTCAGTTCTCTTTAGTGACAGTGGTATGTAGTACCTTTGATGATTCTTTTTTTAAAAGATTTATTGAAGTACAATTTATATAGTGAAATTCACTGTTTTCAGTGTGCACTTTTAAGAGTTTTAAATAAATGTGGATGGTCACTCCCACAATCAAGACACAGGTTATTTTCATTCTAAAATATTTGCTCAGTGGATTGACTTTGTAGCCAATCCACTTATCACGCCCTTAGCCTCTGGCAACCACTGCTTTGATTTCTATCCTATAGGTTTGCCTTTTACAAATGTCTGCTATAATATCCACCTTTTATCGCAAGATAGTAATATAACAGTAAGTACAGTGGCAATTAGAAATAGCTATGTTATAGCTGGGAATTTTTTTAAATGTTATAGTTCCTTCTTTTGCAGATAATGATTAGGATTAAATCTCCTTTGCTCATCTTTTACCATAGCTTTATGATCCAAAAGTTCAAATGGAAAAGCTTCTATCATTTCCTTAAAACAAACTGCTATAATACATTTTAGATGGTCTGTGGTTTGGATTTGAGACTTGCTTGCGGTAGTCATTTGGTCTTCCCACTCCCAGTGTTTCTCACCTTTATATCTTCCAACAAAGTTAGGAATCTTAGGTGTTCTGTTACCATCAAATGCCCAGTTTGCCTGAAGTTAGGATATTTAGCTGATCTTTAAAAAATAAAATATATATCATTTTGAAGTAACCAAATCAGTCTTTTTTTAATGACTGGTAACAAAATAACCCAGAAATTTTGATTGTGAGGACTAACAGAATGAGTTACAAATATGGTCAAAATCCAGAATATAGTTGAATTTTTAAAAAAAGGAACATCGCTCCTTTTTAACACAGAAAATATTCATGACAAATTTTGTTTTCTTATTACATAATTGTCCTCTGTGGCTCTTTTCCCCCCGTTTTTCTTCAGCTACAGAAAAGTAACCAAGAGAGTATACAGAAGTGGATTGAATTCCTTGGTTAACCTGAAATGTTAGAAAAGCTTTTTAAAACAGCTTTATTAAGATATAATTTGCATGTCATTAAATTTGTCCTTAAAATGTATAATTCAGTGGCTTTTAGCATATTCGTGGACCTGTGCAACTGTCACCACAATCAGTTGCGGAGCATTTTCATCACGCAAAACGAAACTCTACCTATAGTTTCACTCCTCTTTTCCCCACGTGTGTGCCAGCCCTAAGCAACCACAAATGTTTTTCTGTCTCTTTGGATTTGCCTGTTCTGGACATTTCAACATGTGGTGTTTTATGACTGGCCTCTTACTTCTTCATTTCCTTGTAGTGCTAATTAATATTCCATTTTATGAATATATCACCATTATCAATTCATCTATAAATTGTGATAGATTCATATATTCATTCATCAGTCGATGAACATTCAGATTTTTAAAACTCTTTGGCTTTTATGAATAATGCTACTGTGAACACTAATGTACAAGTCTTTATGTGGTCCTATGTTTTCATTCCCTGGGAGTGGGATTGCTGGGTCATGTGGGAACTGTGCTTAACCTTTAGAGGAACTGCCAGATTGTTTACTGTTGAGTTTCGAGAGTGCCTTAGGTAGTCTAGGTATAGTCCCTTGTTGGATGTGTGATTTGCGAATCTTTTCTCCTAGTCTGTAGTTTGTCTTTTATCCTCTTAATAGGATCTTTTGTAGAGCAAAAGTTTTTAATTTCAATGAAGTCTGCTTTACCAAGTTACTATTTTATGGGTTGTGGTTTTGGTGTCAAGTCTAGCCTTGGATCACAAAGATTTTCTTTTTTCCTAAAAGTTTTATACTTATTTGATCTGCATTTAAGTCCATTATCCATTTTGAGTTAATTTTTATAGGATTGGGTTCAGATTTTTGTCTACAGATGTCCAGTTACAGTAGGCCATTTGTTGAAGAGACTATCTTCCCTCCATTGAATTGCTTTTGCACCTGTCAAATATCAGTTGGGCACATTTGAATGCATCTTTTATGGGTTCTCTATTCTATTAACCTAAAGCTGCATAGTTTTAATAACTATATGATGTTTTAAAATGGGGCAGACTGATATTTCCTTTCTTATTTTTTTCTCCAAAATTCTTTCAGCTAGTCTAATTCTTTTGTCTTTACATAATTTTAGAATAATTTTGTCTACACCTATCAAAAATTATGCTGAGATTTTTATAGGAATTATGTTAAACCTGTATATCAGTTTATAGAGAATTGTCATCTTTACTATGTCGAATCTTCTACATGAACCCACAAACCCATGAACACTACATAATATATATTTTTTAATGTGTTGTGTTTGCATCTGGTATGTTAAAAAGCTTGAAGAGTCTTGCTCTACCTTAGTTCTTAAAAACTAAACCTTGTGATTCCCATTTGTTCTAGCTGGGGTCTCAGCAGAAGCCATGCAGCCCATCACCACTGCCCCTGACACTACCTCGGGGTCTGAAGCCAAAGTCCCAGAAGAAGAGCATGACCTTGTAGATGATGACATCACAACTGGTAAGGAGACGTCTTTAACATAATCTGGATGAGCCTTGTCCAATATTGGAAAACGCTTTTCTGTCATTTACAGTGGGACTAAGTATGTTGATGGAAAGGATGGAAACCGGTATTGATGGAGTGTTTGGCTTTATAAGACTCTTTAGTGTCCTTTTGATCTTGAAGTGGGAAGAAGTGGAACTGTTTATTTGGCCCAGGTTTGCTCATTGTTGCTGTAACAATGAACCTGCTAGCTGTGCATTTGATTTTCTGGGGACCTTCTAATTCAGAGGCTAGGATCATTTCTAAAGCCTCGGAACATGTAGAGGAATACATCTATTATGTTATGAAAGGTTTTGCAATTATAGGGTAAACTGAAACTATTGAAGATGTAATAGCAATATATGCGATAGCTGCATAAGGAAACTTACAGCTACTCTTTTTACATATACCATAGAAATAAATGCTGCTGCTTTAAAAGTTTTTGCATTGCTTGGGTATTGAACATTCTTATCTGCATTATTTATCACATTACCAGGCATCAAGTAAAATTTAGAAAAGCCATACAGCACATATTTTCAGCCTGTCTTTTTATAGATTTAAACAGTTCCAATTACTGGATCTTCAGATGCATTCAGCTCGATTTCTTTCAATGCACAGAGGATAAAAACTACCTAGTATAGATATTTTTATTGGTATTAAGAATGTTAAACTTTTGTTTTTGGCGTGGATGGTTAAAATGTAAAATCTGATGACATATGTCTATAATTATCACGAAACAACAAAATATTAACTTAATAGTAACCACTAATTTGAGAAGAAGCATGCCCAGAAAATATCAGTAAAATTTTCAACAGAAATTAAAGGGAGAAAGAAACAAGAGGGAGGTTTATTTTGTTTTGTTTTGTTTGTTTTTCTTTTAAAGCTCTGTGTGGCAGGTTCTTTACTGTTAGCACCTGAATGCCTTTGAAATTGCTTCTGTGGGAAGGAACTGAGGGAACCTAATGATCTCCCTTGAAAATTTACAAAGCCAGTATTAACTTAAAAACCCATGTTTGTGTCACTGCTGCAAATAAGGAGTTGACTAAGTTGGGGAGCATCTGGTTTTCAGTAAAAATGAGATGATGGTGGTTCTTATTACTTGTTACTTTTAAATTCTTTTAAATGTTATCAGTTCATTGATTTTTTTTTTTTTTAAACCGTCTACCTTAAATATAAATTACTTCAGAAACTTGCCACTTTTCTGCAGGTCTTTTGCACTTCACAGTTATGGGATTTGTTTCAGTAGCTACTGAAGGAAATTATTTCATTTGCAAGTTTTTTAAACTATTTTTTTATTTTATTCCATTTTCATTGCTTTTAAAAGTGATGCTATAGCTGTGTTGTTATATTTTAATCCCTATAACTTTCAAAGCCTTCTGTCTGTAAAAAGTAGTGGTTTACTTCATAGAAGAAAAGGAAGTTACCTTTGCAATAGTAGAATAACTCAATTTGCATTCTGGAATGAAAGATGAAGTTTTGGGCACTCAGGCAATACTAAATCGGTACATAGAAATTTTGAATTACACACTGCCAAAGTCACAAGACTGCATTATAGCACATGGCTGTGTTTTTATTTGATTGTTAAAACAAATAAAAAAGCTTAAAAATGAAAATCTAGTGTTGGAGGGTCAATTAATGCCAACAAACTGTATTTTAATCTGTACGAAGTTCAGTTGAACGTAAGTTAGGAGTGGTTTTTATTAGGCAATTTATTTATTTCATGCCGTGGCTACTAGAAGCAAGAATGTTCAATACCCAAGGAATTTAAATAGCTGGAAAAAGGCTTCCTTAACACGCCAAAGCAACTAGCATGCTGCAGTCTGCAGATCATGCAGGTTAGATTGTGCAACTTGATTAAGATGTGGTATAGATTTTTATGAAGGTTTAGAAGAAAACCATATTTCTTTTTATTGACTAGAATCCTATATAAATTGCATTATGAAAAATACGGTAGATGCATCAAGAGAAACCTGTTCCAAGCATAATAATCTTATTTTGGGATAACTAGGATTGTAGCGCTCAAATACAAAAGGGAAAACTGGTCATCTTAACCATTCACTTTGAAAAAACCTGATTTCTTTTTCAGTTATTTAAAAGGAATTGCTCTAATAATATCTCCTCATAAAATAAATAGAAAGTATATTATGACAGAGATATTTTCCTGTTTTTTGAGTGGATTCTTATTTGGAGGCTGTAGTTAGGCTAATATGCATTGTTGTATTAATGATATATTTATAGTAATCTGGAACTTAATTTTTCAAGTAACTCAGTTAAACAATTGACCAACATAGCAATAAAAATGTGAAATATAACTTAGTGCTTTTGCTATAGGAAAATAGTCATTTTGGAAATTTTTCTTTTGGGTGAGAATTGAATGAGGTATTAATGTTGTCTTGTGACCCTGAAATCTGAGCCTGGCAGTCTTTGTTAGTGTCACCTTATAAAAATAAAGAACCATGGATAAAACTGCGTAAGTGTTGGCTATGATCAATTGGAACTAATTAAATTTATTTGAAAAAGAAGAGTCTTAACTGGAAGAGAACAGCTGGAAAAACTGGGAAGAAAAAATTGAGTCTTGATTGAGACAATTTAAACCTTCTCACTGTCACTTAAAGAATATGCTGCCTCTCCTTTCTATATCTCCTTTTTAAAGCTAATATCTATTGATCGGCTCCACAAAGTAATGCCACAGTGCACCTTGGTCAACACATACACTCGGTTTTACTCAGCATTCTGTCTAAGATTCATCAAGTCCTTTCCTTTAACCACGTGCTTTAAGTTACATATCAAAGCTATATTAGCTATTTTTGCAGATTAATAGTTTTTCATGTAGAAAAATATTAAAACATATTCCTTTTTTTAATATTGTATAATATGCATGGTAATGTACTTTCTTTTCCAATGAAATTGCTTCAGGTTTTGCAGTACTCTGTCAAATCTGTTTTAACAAAATAATAGTATTTTCTTTAAAGTTAAATGAATGGCATTAAGATTGTTTCTAGATTATTTATCATTTCAGAGCCACAAGAATATTACTCTAAACCTATAGGTTTCTTTCATATGTATGCTTTTATTTTTAGTATTGTAATTTAAATGTTTATGTAGATATATATCATCAATATTTGTAAAATAATATGTTTTTATTTTCATTACAATATTAATAGGTCATAATTATATTAATAAAATAAGTCTCACTGAAATCTGATATACATAGAAAAAATTTTAGAGAAATGATTATTTTTTAAGGTAGTCTTTTTAGGTGACTTTGTTAATTATCTTAATGCAGTTTTCATCATTGTAAAGGAGGGCATTCTGTGTGCAGATGAAGCTGTACAACCTCTAAATGTTGCATTTAAAACAACCTCCCCCTAATTGCAGGTTAAAAAGAATTTTGGAAGGATATCATTCACAAACATGCATGGATCCATTTAAGAAAGTCACTGTATTTTTCTAAGGGTCATACTGCAATGTCCTGCCTCTTGTTCAATATTGCAAGGACACAAACTGACCATATAACAGTGATAAAGGGTCAGGAGTCACTGACATTGTCAAAAAGAGACAGCTTGATAGTAGATGAACAGCACAGTTGATAGATTCTACTGCTTATAACAAAAATAGCAATGATAGTGAATCTAGATGGGTCTGTTGGATGTTTTGTAAAATTTAAATTTAATTTGTTATAAAAAAAAAAAAGATGGAAAGTGCTATGGATAAAAGAAAAAATAGAAAAGGGTAAGAGAAATGGAAAGTAATATCTATTTACACTTGACTCTTACAACATTTCTTTGAAGTGGATACCAGTATTTTTCCGACTATATAGATGAGGAAACAAGCTGAGAGAGGTCATTTTTATAAGGTCTAATACTTAACAAGTGATAGATCTGGGGCTTCAAATGATTCCTGCCTGATTCTAAAGCTTATGTGTGGTCTTAAGCACCACCCTACCCTGCCTCACATTCTCAAACTCATTGAACTTCGGCAGGTTTTCATTTTCTTTTGAAATGTGAGGTGATGTCAGAGTTTACCTTTATTGCTTATGACATCAGGCATAAGCCTGGTAATTGCTGGATATTCTATCTTAATATTAAACATGCAAATGTTATTTAAATGTAGACCACAAGATTGTCTTCTTTAGAGAGAAAAAAATCATCACATACTTGTTCCTTAAATTTTCAGCCATTATTTCAGACTACTGTGATATAAGACTGTAAATATAAGTAGTGTTTATTACTAAACAGTTATTTTATTGCATACTTCTAAAATGAAACATTTATTGTTCTGTCTAGCTTTTTGAAGTCATCAGAAAACAGACATCTTAACATATATTCATAAACTAAAGTCAACATCTTTAGTATACTAAGATAGAGCTGACAAGGACATCTAGTCTGAGACTAAATATTGATTTGTGCATTTTAGCATTTACTAAAAGCTTTATTCATAAAATGTTTATACATTTGTTTTGGCTGAAAGATAGGAAATTCATCCTGTTAAAGTACACATAAGTTCCAAAGAGCAAAATTTATGGCATGTATTCAGGAATCAGAAGTACTTTCTAAGCATAGAGCCAGGGGCCTTATAGTTAGTAAACTAGAGTAAGACATCTACGTCGCACCCTTTCCCTTTCTCATGCTTTAATTTATACTCGACAGTCTAAAAATTAGTACTCAATCTATATGAATTTTAAATTGTCTGTTCTGAGTTGTGATCATTCCCCTTGCTTTTGCGTTTAGAATATTAGCTACTACAAAATATAAATTTACTATATTAAGGTTTTTTGATAATTATAAATTATTAACACTGTGGTTTATTTACCATGTGGTTTTCATGAACACAGATATTAAGAAAAATAAAAGTGTGGATTTTTTTTAGTTTTCTGGGTGAAACATGTCACTCCAAATAATTTACCTTTCCATACTTTTTTTGAATCCAGGGGAAGAAAATGCAAATTAAAATATGTTTTGTCTAGCGTTTGACACTCG